GTTTTTTCTCTTTGAGATCAAGTTAGATTTAAAGATTGAGATTATGGTCTTAGGGTACCTTTTTTTATAAGGAAACTTTGTAAAAGATTTATATATCTTCAGGACAAGCAGGTGGATTTGACTTCGAGCATACCTTCTGTTTCGCCTGCGAGCATGGCTTCCTACCCTCTCTTAATGCCCTCTATGACCTCAGGTGAACATATTATATGTGAAGGTGTTAGCATCACTCTTTATCTGAGAATCTTCCATCAGAATTTACACATCCATCATGTTGACGCAAAGAGTAATTTCTGAGATTATTTTATGTTAGGCATAGTGCATACTCTTATGTTTATTTATTTATTGTGAAATTTTATAGTAAAGTCTTTTCTCTGATCCTGTTACCTTGTAGTGATGATTCTCTTACATATCTTTCCCCAGTGAGATTAACTGATTTTCTTGGTTCCTCTGTGTCTCAGATTTAAGTGGCAATGCAGCCAGTCTCTTAGAACAGAATATAAGAGCATTTAGTCAAATTAAAGCTAATCTCTTCTCAGATAAGGTAAGTTCTGGATCATCTGGTTTAAAAGAATTGCCAAATGTGTTCTTGTTATAAATTGGTCTTTCATGATGAATATGAACAGGCACATGATAACATAGATCTCCTCTATCAAGCAAGGAACAACCTTATCAACATCCAAAATGAGTAAGTTGGTACTTTCTTCAATATTTCCTGTAAAATTTGGGTGGAGCTTGTTGACCAACTGATGTCTCTTAATTTGGCAGCATGAATAATATGCCTGGCTTGATGAGCCAGATGCCACCAGTGTCTGTTGCAATCAATGATGATCTTTTATTGAGTAATTCATCTTTGGTAAGTTCATAGGCTGCTCACTTTTGCATTAAAAATCCATTACAATTTTCTTTTTTTTATATCGGATGTTCACTTGTTCCTTATCACTCCTTCTCTAGTTTGAACTTTGAGTTTAGTTTAAATGGCTCAAACATAGAATAGTACTGCTTCTAAATAGCTGAGTATATATGAATGTTTTTGGTTTGATAGTTAAGTTTATGAGAATGATTGCATGATTTGCATCCCAACAGTTAAGGAAATAAGAGTTGGTTTGTTCCATCTTAATAGACTTGTAGTGGATTTCGGTTTAGATATATATGTATACACATGTTGTTAATTTCACTTGATCTCTTTGGCTATAGCAATGAAGTTGGTTTCTTCCCATTTGTACCAGGCGATGCCATTCAACACCATGCAAAATGGCGGTTTCCATAAGAAGCAAGAGCCTTTGGGATGACTGAGGAAGCTGGAAAGCTCCAAATTGAAAACCATCTTGACAAGGTCTATAGATTAATTAACTTAGTTAAATGTTATTACAGACTTCTAAGCGATGTGTATAAAATGAATATGATTCTATGTGAGATAGAATAGCTTGTTTAGATTTGTATCCGTCATCTTTTTATATCATTTGGTGTTATTTTGGTACTCATTTCTTCTTAACATGTCAAGGTTAATATAAAAAACCAATTACAAACAAAACACAAGAATACATTGATGGCGACTTAAATTATATAAAAAGAAAGAAAATGATGAGACATAGAAAGTCTACATCATCTATTTAATCGGTTTTGTGAAGATGAAACATGATCTCCTCCTCTTGATGATGAATCATCAAAGTTAATCAAGCTTCGTATTGATCCATTGTTTGCTGCCATTTTGTTGATAACAAGAAGGATGAGAGTGGGTGGTTTATGTATTCCTTCGTAGGTTATCAATATCGGCATGTCTACCTTTGCACCTTCACAAATGCAACAATTGGTTAAGAAATTACTATAGACACAGCATATAAAGACAAAAACTATATAAACATGGAATAGAATAAGAAATGTTGTGTAATGATTTATACTAATGTCATAATTTGAGTTCAAATATGTAAAAGTGCGTACAATTAAACCTCTTTAAATTAATACTCTATAGATTAATGTATTTTAAAATAATAAATTTTGTAGTTTCTGAGTTAGATCTATGTAAAAATTAGGGAAAATCACAAAAACACACAAAAAGAAAAAATAACATCGGTAATATGCTATTGGACATGCATTCCATTTCGTAGGTTCCTGCCCGTACTTTCTCCATTGACATCCATCACTCGTCTACACATATAGGCTCTTTTCGTTTTTTGTATAAGACACTCTTGATGCAAGTATTCAGATGTTTTTTCTTTTTTTTAATGGGTTCCAATGTTTATTGGAAACCCTCCAAAAATAGGCGTATGCCACTTAAATGTGGAGAACACACGGTATTCTTTAGTAAAAAGCGAAAGAATAGTTCGCTTTGTGCTCACTACATGACTGCGTAAGTATTCAGATGTTGTTCATTTATGCTTAACAATCTAATTATTACGTTACAACACAAAATTTTATAATATCTAGTATTTAAGATGTAAAAATATAGAGTTTCAATCAACATTTGTCGCTCAAAATCCAAGAGATCTAATTACTCTTTAGTATAAATATTAAATTAATTAGATTACTTATTAGATTTATTTTATAATATTTTAAATTAGAAAACACAATTTTCTACCAAAACTGCAAACGAGTGTTTTCATCAAAGTCGCAAAATGTTTTTGGCAAGAACCGTAAAATAATTCATGTTATCATGTCAAGATAGTAAAATCAAAATTTTCCGTCCAAAGTGTAAAATTATTTTTCCGTTAAATTAGAAAATCATATTCTTGCAGTACAACTGTAAAATTGAGTTTCCTCGCCAGAACCATAAAATTAAAGGTTCTCTCTAAAACCATCATATCAAATTCACGTCAAAATCATAAAATCAGAGTTCTCCACTAAAACTATAAAATCAAGTTTTATCACCAAAAATAATATTTTCCGTCAAAATTACAATTGTGTTTTCCCACACAAAAAAAAATGTAAACCATGCTACTGGTCAAGATCACAAAATCATATTTTTCCACCACAAATTCGAAGATCAGGTTTTCCTACTGAAATCGAAAATCAAGTTTTTTTTTTCCAAAATCATAAAATTATTTTTGTGGTCAAAACCGTAAAATTATATTTTCCGTCAAAATCATAAAATCAGATTTTTCTGTGTAAATAGTAAAATTGTATTTTCTGACAAAATCAAAATTTGTTTTTTTTCCTGCCAATCCCACAATTGAAATTTCTGCCAACCATAAAATTGCATTTTCCTGTTAAATAAAAAAAAATCAAGTTTTTTCGACAAAATTAAGAAATTAATTTTTTCTCCAAAATCACATTATTGTTTTATGCCAAATCCACAAAATTGAATTTTTGCCAAAACTACAAATCAAGATCCCTCCCCCCCCCCTCTAGCACTGCAAAATTGGCTTTCCATCAAAATCACAATCTTTAGTCAAAATGAAAAAAAAAATCTATGTTATTCCGTTAAATTACAAAATTGCATTTTTCGTGAAAAAGACAAATTCAGTTTTTCATCAAAATGAGATAATAAGATTTTACTCAAAATCGTAAAATCGTAGTTTATCTGGTTGCAAATATAGTTATAAATATATTTATCCATAACTATAATTAGTTGATTATGAATCACACCTTTTCAGTTTTTTACCCTCAATATTCAAATGCTCTTATAAAATCGTAAACAAACAACCTAGCATTTAGATGTTATATTTGAATGAAAATACTAACTATAAATACAAAACAATATTTGGATGCAATATCTATATATTATATTCAGATAATATATCTAGATGCTATATTAAATACAAAAACCAACATGGCCTTTACTCGTGTTATATGCCGTTAGTAAAATGAAATTATTTCATAGACTAACGAGAACGCAACACCAACTCCCACAAAAAAAAACTTATGATTACTTTCTTTGAATAACAGATCTCATTTTTATGTTACTGTATACATATATTTGGCGTGAAATGTCAAATAAATAATTGTGGGGTGGTGGGTGCTTAGAGCATCTCCAAAAAGACTCTCTATTTTAGAGTTTGTAAAACTCTATATTTGAAGTTTAAAGATGTTGTGCTCCAAAAACAAAACTTCAAACTCAACTTCAAAACTATTTGTATTTTATACTATGGTCCTTATATTTATTATAACTAATTACAATTCATAGAATTTTTATAAATAACTAATCCATATATAAACTATTACAATAATATTAATTGATAAAATGTTACACTAAAATAAAAATTATAAACAAAATATATAATTAAATATTAAATTATGAACAAAATACTACATTAAATCTGGTAATATTGTTGTTGTCTAATACATATATAAACTATTACAATAACATTAATTGATAAAATGTTACACTAAAATAAAATGTATAAACAAAATATATAATTAAATATTAAATTATGAACAAAATACTACATTAATTCTGGTAATATTGTAGTTGTCTAATTCTAGTTTTAAAATATTTGAAATCTTTTCTTGATATTTTTATTTTAAAAATTAATTATGTGTAAAATTTAAATTTATTAAAAAATTGAAATATTTATGAGATAAAAAGTTTAAAGGTTAAAATGATAAACAACAAAATATTTAAGAGTTATAAATATGATTTGTAATTGTAAGGACTAAAATGCAAATAAAAGTATGAAACTTCAAATTTGAAGCTTTAGAGTTTCTTTTTGGAGAGTCAAAACTTCATATAATAAATTTTTGGTTCTTCAAAAAGGACACTCTATAACTTCAAATAATAAATTTTTGGTTCTTCAAAAAGGAAGTCTAAAACTTCAAATTTGAAGAGCATCTCCAAAAGACACTCTATAACTTCAAATATGAAATTTTTGACTCTCCAAAAAGATACTCTAAAACTTCAAATTTGAAATTTTGAGTAGTGAAACTTCAAATATAGAGTGTCACTACTCAAAACTTCAAATTTTAAGTTTCATTTTTTTATTTACATTTTTACAATTATACATTATATTTATAATTCTTAAATATATTATGGTTTATATATCATTTTAACCCTTAAAAATTCATATCTCATAAATATTTCAAAATTGTTTTTATAAATTTAAATTTTACAAATAATGTTTTTAGAAAACAACAAAATAAGATTTAAAATAGTTTAAAATAAGAATTAGACAACAACAATATTACAAGACTTAGTGTGGTATTTTATTTATAGTTTACTATTTAATTATATATTTCTATTAATAATTTCATATTTTAGTTGTAACAATTTATCATTTAATATTGCTATCATTTTTTTATATATGTGCTAGTTATTTATAAAATTTCTATGAATTTGAGCTAGTAGTAATAAATATACAGATCATCGTATAGAATACAAATAGTTTTCAAATTAAATTTGGAATTTTGCTTTTAGAATATAGACCTTCAAACTTTAAATATAAAATTTTATAAATTTTAAAATAGAGTGTCTTTTTGGAGATTTTTTTGCTCTTACTATCCTTCTCATTTTTCTTTTTTTAATTGTCGCCATCGAGATTTGTCTTCTCTCCATTTGTTCGGCAAATTTGCAGAAATTAATAAATGGAGGGCGGAGGCTGTATATAATTGTGAACAAATTCACAAACAAAATTAAAGAGATTTTGTTTTGGAATTGAGCAACAAAATGGTCTCCACCAAAAAAAATGGAAATGAAACTTAAAACAAATTGTCTAGGGAAGAAAAGAAATGGTTAAGAAATAAATCTCAAGTTTCATTTGTACGTAATGCATCTCACGATGTTCTTCATCCGACAATTCATTTATACGTTTTACATTCTAAAAGATTAATTGCCGAAAGTGTTTTTTTAACAATATTGCCGAAAGTGTTATCAAGAAGATAGAGACAAAGAAAGTAATTTTAATTGATTATTACTCGAAAAAAGGAGGAAAAGGACATTTTGCCTTTTTAAAAGTTTGGGGTAGAATAAAGCTACCATATAGTTTTACATAGGGATGTGGGTTACCTTCCAAAACTTGTATCACTAATTCACTATTATCTATTTTCTTTATTTGCTTGCATAATTCTGCGTTATCATCGTATTACATTATTAATTAGAGTTTTCTTTGCTTACTTTTTTCCACGTTCGTACTTTCTTCATGCTAAACATTATATAATAAAAATACTTGCAATGCAGACATGCATGAGAAAAATGATAATAGTTTTTTGTTTTTTTTTTGTTTTTTTATTGTATCGTGTGACACAACCAAACCATGTTATTGACACCGCCAAAAAGTTAGTTGGTAAATACAACACAATTTAAAATGTTTTTTTGTTGTTCAAAATATTGTTTTCTATAATTCTGATTGGCGACGCAAACCAGTAAAAACCTTTTTGTTGTATCTCACTGTGACAATAGGAAGATGAAAATAAAATTTGGGAAACGAATTTACTCTCCTTTCTTACTAATCAAACATATAAGTGAATTGACATTTTTTGTAGGAGCGACTCTCATTGTTTGAACATCTCTATATATTACTCTATTTTTATATAAAATAGAGTAATTTCAAAATGAAGTTGAGTTTTCTCTTAACTATACTCTGTTATGAAATAAAAAATAGAGTAATAGTTACAAAATAAAATTGTCACTCTGTTTTTATAAGATTTTTATCTTTTTATTATAAAATTAAAAAAAGTTGAATAGGATTAGAAGAAGTTTATTCCAAACTTCATTTTGGAGTAAAAACAATAGGGGGTTAAGATGTTCTTAGCTTGTGTAAATAATCAAATCATGTCTATTTATCAATATATATATATAAAAGTTCAAAATAAATAAAAGGCTGAACATAAATCATTCGGAAAAGGAAATTAGAATGGTCCAATGTGTATAAATATTCAGGTAACAAGAAAATGAAGCATATAATATTTAAGAATTGTGTCGTGACGATGTGACATGACCCATAAAGATGATTCTAAAGGAGAAGAAGGAAATCATTTCATGGAAGTGCGTGAAGAGGGTCTACGGTCTAGTGAAAGTGACTGATGAGTGATGACTGACTTTTAACCATTTCAAACTTCGGCACTGAAAACATGGCGTTTTATGTTCTTGTTTCATCATTTCTTATAGTTTTTCGTGTAAAGAAACGAGATCCACTTCTGCTCTGAAAAAGTCTTTTCTTCTCTCCTCTCCCTCTATACATTTACATAATTTAGTTTTTGAGTATTTGATTTATATTTTACATTAACGGGTGAGTATTTTTGAGTTTGTTCCTCCCGTTTTATATACTCCCTCCGTTTCAAATTATATGTCATCTAGAGTAAAATTTTCGTTTCAAAATAAGTGTCGTTTTATAGTTTCAATGCAAAATTTATTGATTTTAAATGTTATTCTATTTTTTCATTGGTTGAAAAGTGGTTAGGTGTATAGGTAATTGTGTTTTTATTTTGAAAATATGTAAAATTAATTGTTTTCTTAATCTGTGTGCAAAACTCTAGAATGACAATTAAATTGAAACGGAGGGAGTATAACACACGGTCCTCAATTTTTATTTTATTTTTGACAAAAAAAGGCCGATGATAACAGAGGCATGGTTCGAACTCAGTTTTAAAACTCTGACGAAGACAATTTAAAAATATTATTTGTTTTTGGTTCTAAAATAGCATATCTACAGTTCTACTAGCTAATTTCTTCATTTGTATTGCAGAGTTATCAGTTTTAGGTAAATGGTTGTTAAGAAACATGTATAGGGATTCGGCTCATTTTGATCATTAAAAAATAAATCTAAACCCTTTGTTAAAAATCTAAACATCAACCAAATTAAAATTGGGCTTATTTGTGTACTAGCTATATTTGAAAGATAAATTAGGTGAATAGTAATGATTTTGACATAATTTAATGTCAAATATTTATACCACGAATCATCCGGTTATGCCCTAACAAGTTTCCAGTTGCAAGTGAGAAATCAGAAAGTAGATAACATCGTTTCTTTTGTGGTGTATTTACTATCACATCTATGTCACATATTTTGTAACCACATATATGTATATAGAATATTCTATTCCATATTGTCGAAATAGTATAGAATTATAACTCAACTCACAATCCTAAATACTAAACATTATCTCAACTTCTATTCCATATCGTCAAAATAGTATAAAATTATGATCCCTACAGAATTACCACAAACATATTCTTTTACCACTGCTATCACTAAACCAAATATAGACCATAAACCCAAATAAAATAGAATAAAATACATAGAATAGTACATACTGTGAGCAAAATAGAACACTTTTTATTAATCATCATAGGGAACAATACATGATAGGATCAGTAAACCCAAACCTCAACTTCCACCTTCCAAATACTAAACCCTAAATCCTTATCACTAAACCCTAAACCCAAATGTAAATCATAAAACCAAGTAGAATAGAACAAAATACATAGAATAGTACTTAGTGATGAGCAAATAAAACACTTTTTATTAATCATCAAATGGAACAATACATGATAAGGTCAGTAAACCCAAACCTCAACTCTCACCTTTTAAATACTAACTCCTAATTCATAATCACTAAACTCTAAACTCAAGTATAAACCTTAAATCCAAATAGAATGAAACAAAATACATAGTATAATATATATTAAATAGTATAGTAACAGAATTTTTAAATTTCTATTCTATATGTATAAATAGTATATGCAGTAAAAAGAGATGATGTTGTTCTACAAAACACCACAAGTTACTTGGATTAATAATTAATTTTGTTATTTTGTTTTTAAACGCCGGTTGATTTTGGAGACAAAATAGCATTATTACATAAAGTAGAATGTATGTATAAAAAAGATAGGGTCTTTGACTATTTATCCAATTATATTTTTTTTCTTGTTATACAACCCAATTTCCCATTAAAATTCACCATTCGATTAGGATTTGGGAGTTACGGATATGGAGAGAAGTCAACTTGAGAATCTTACACACGATTTCAGCTCATCACTTTACTTCGCATTTAATGCAAATACTTGTGTATTTATTACACTAACAAAAGTTACAATATCCAGGAACCAGCAACAGATCCACCCACATATTTGATACTTACATATAACAAAACTCTTATCTTCTCGGATTTTGTCTGAGGAAAAAAAGAACGAAAACAAACCAAGAATTTATAAGAATAAAAACCCCAAAATAAATTATTCCATTTCACTCAAAGAACAAAAAAAGGAAGAATATTTGTTTTTTTCGTGTCTCTTTTTCAAGGTCTATGACGATGTTCTATCACTTGCTTTTTCACCTTCGGTAGTCGCCGAAGACACATAGCTCACGGCAAGAGACGTACTCTCATCGGTACAAGGCGGCTGTGAGGGAGGAGCAGAAGCAGCAAGAACTTGAAAGTGTTTCTTGCAATTATGGCAAGTGATTTGCATCACTGTTGCACTAATCCTCCTACTCGCTTCTTCTTTAAACAGCTGAGCTTTATAAAGCTCAGCTTTGGCGTTTTGCCTTATTCTCTTGGCTTCAGCAAACTCTAACTCCGCAATCTCTATTTGCCTTTTTGCTTCCTCTCTTTCTCCCAAACCTAAGCTCCTCTCTCCCTTCTCGTAGCTTGACATTGTTGTCTCCATCCCTATCGACAAACTAAGGTTGGTATCATCAGCTCTATCCCGAGATGGAAGTAGCTGAAGCTCGATAATACTACCAGTAGTAGCGTTTGAGCCAACGAAAGGATGAAGCAAATCATATGGTTGTTGATCATATGGTGGAAATTGTCTGGGCAAAGGATGTCTTGGTAAAACTGGATCAAAGGAGAGATCAATGTTTTTGGCGGTTAAAGCGGTTTGTGTAGCGTTTATGGTATGTTGCTGCTGTTGTTGTAAACGGTGGCTGGATGGTTGAGATCGGCGCATGGTGCAATTGTCTTGGTGCTCTATGAAACTCTCCACTCTGAATCAAGAAGAGTGTATATATAGTTAACTAAAAATAGAAAGCACAAAGGAATATTGATTAGCATCAAGAAGACAAAATAAAATAAAATAAATAACAAGTTAGTGGAGTTAGGTATCTTTTGGATTATATATATTTTGATTTATGAGTATGAGATGCAAGACTTTGAGTTTTAGTTTGGTATATACTATGAACAATATATGTACTTAACAAAGTGTAATAATAAAATCGGTCATGGGGTCAACATGAGTTCAAATATATAATCAAAACATTCAGTTCCTAATTATTAAATTAGTTAAAATTTTCAGACAACAGTCCAAACAAACTCAGCTTCCACTAGTAAGCTTATTACAAGATCTTTGTGCATTATCTATAATCAAAACATGTACACCACCCCATACTAGAAAAACATTCTTTAATTTACTTTAAGGATCCCCATGTATGTATTCATAAATATATATTTTTCTCCTATAAATTATTAATAAAATTGAATATATTAGTATTGCCACCAGCTAGGGTTTCTCAGAAATGGAACCTGGAGAAAACGCGGCCACAATCGCAAGAATGGCCGCGAGTGCCACATGTTTTAAGATGAGCTTTGTAATCAGACTGAACCGCGTAGCCTTTTGAGCATCTCTCGCAGATCCATTGCTTGTGGTTACTGTGTTTCCTTCGAAAGTGTTTCTTGATTCCCACGAGATCTCCGAGGGCATGACAAGGGTTGTGGTGGAGACACGTTGGCTCTGGACAGACGTAGACTCTCTTCTTAACTTCCTCGTTGGTTTCTCTCTTTAAAAGCTTCCATGGAACTTTATGTCTTCTCCTGTGCATCTGTAGTCAGCAGTAGGTTCTGGTCTCTCTGAAACCCTTGGTTACAGATCTCACAAACATACCTGTCTGATTCTAGCAGGGTTCTTGGAGATAAAGATACAACCTCCGCCTCTGGATCTGCCACCGATAGAAAAAATATGATTACTTTCAAGAATTTAGGGAAAGAACCAAAAAAAAATGAAAACCTAATTATTTGAAAAAAAATATAAAAAAATGAACCGAATTATAACCAAAAAGTGATAATTACTTTCAAGAATTTAGGGAAATAACAAAAAAAGTTATAAACTCGGAAAGCTGGTGATAAATCTAAAAATAAAAAAGGAAAAAAGTTTGGACATAATTGGTAATCACCTGGTGTTCCGGCGGGTCGTCGTTTCCTCTTTTGGGACACGGTGGCTCCATTACCACTGGGAAGAAGATCGGAGGAAGATGAAGACGGAGGAGGGTTCCAATGATGGTTGATGTTCTTGGTGTTATTGCTTCTCTCGTAGTCTATCATTGGATGAGGTCTTTAATCTGAAGATAGTGTTGGTTTATAGTGGAAGATTACTTGTTTTTTCTCTTTCTTTTTATTGAGAGCATTGTGTTAGCATCTTTTACTAATAGAAGAGAAAAGTATGATGAGTTAAAGAGAGAGAAACAAAGGGCTTTGTTTTTCTGAAATCATCTTTTCTATCACATAAAGGGAAAAGCTTTTATGTTCTCTTTACTCTCCATCTTTTTATAAAATTTCTTGGAAAAACCAAAAGAAATACAATGAAAACTTTCAACTTGTTGTTAATTGTTTCATTGACCTCTCACCTTAGATGGGGAAATGCAAGGTATGGTCTTTAGTGCTTTCAATCTTCTTCAGAGTAGTTATGAACCTCTCTTTCTCTCTCTCTCATCTATCAGTACACTGTACACTGTTTATTTGCAAACACAAAAGATATCTATGCCGAAAGATGTTGCGTACACATAAAGAGAGTGGGACAAGTAGTTTGGAGCCCACATTAGCATCTAGACAAGAAACAAAAAAACATCCCCTTTCACAACAAAACAATTGCAGATCATACGATATTCGATCAGACTGATTTAAGTTTTTTTCATTTTTTTTTTCAAGATAGATAATAAAAGGATTGGTGAAATTTAAATGGGAATCTTGAAATTTGATGTTAGAGGACATGTTTTTAATGGTGACAAATGTATCTGTAGCCTTTAGGACTGGTTTATATATAAAAGAGGGACATGAGAATATTTGTTTGGAAAATATGACACAGGCATATATACCCAACTCATGTTTCCGTGTATATACAAATACATAGACAATGTGGTGTCATCATCTCACATATTATATCCCTTTTCAAACAAGAAATATATTCCAATCAAGTATGGAGATTGTGTTTATAAGTGAGACTTTTTCTTAAAAGAAACTTTTGTGGTTACACAAACCCTAGAGTCAGATCTGGGTTTCTAGTGTCAACTCAGGCCAATTATATCTAACATTACAAACAAAGGAAATTTTTAGATCTAGAATATGTTCGAAGGATGTTTTCTTAATAAAACATTTCTATACAAGTTGAGTGTGTGAATTAACAAAAACAAAAAAGTGGAAAGTTTGTGTGTGGTAAGTATAAATTACATATATATTATATTAAAGTCCACCATCTCATAAAAGGAGTTTGTCCAACCATGTGGAACTGTAAAAAAAAGCCAAGTAAAAACAAAAATTTGAAAGTTTACTTTTTCATTTAAAGAAAACAAAAAGAAAAGAAGAGAAAGGAGAGGGTTGAGTTGGAAAGAATGAATGGGAGGATGGGGAGGGGAGATGGATTCTCATCACATGCAATGCTTTTCTGTAAGTTAGATATATCAATCCTCCACACAATCACAATATTTTAGTATATACTTCCTCTGTTTCATTATAAGTGTCACTCTATAGCTGTGCACACGGATTAAGGAAACAATTAATTTTACATATTTCCTATATAAAAACACAATTACTCATACACCTAACCATATTTTAACCAATGGAAAAACAAATTACATAATAAAATTAATAAATTTTGCATTGAAAACCAAAAACGACACTTATTTTGTAACGCAAAAAAATCTCTACAACGACACTTAATATGAAACGGAGGGAGTAGTAATCAACTCTTCTCTTTATTCAAAAAGTATATTCACTGAATAAATGGGTAAACAGATATAAAATCATAAATAAGTTGGATTAGTAACATAGACTGCATAATTGTGTTTTCGATTAATAAGACAATATTTTACTTAATATCACGTTATTTGGTTAAACTATGCATAAAAGATTATCACATGCCCATCTAGTAAATTCATAACTCTACTTGATTCCAATAAGTCGCTTACTCCCGTGATTACTTGTTTTTATTGTTGAATTGTACCATTTTAAGACCTGGAATTAACAGCGGTCTTTAGGTTTAGCGTAATCTATATTTTTGTTTTTATTGGGTAAACTAATAAAAATAATAACAGTGCACTGAAGCCTGAAGCATTTGTCTCGTTCGGTCTTGTTGTCATGTGAAAGGTGCAACTTGAAAAGTTATTTGGCATTTCAAGATTTCACTGAAACCAAAACGGAGATTAACCATCCTTTACTACAGTAGTGCTTGTTCAGGCTACGCGCGGTTATGCTTGAAATTTGTTTGGACCAAATATATGCTTGAAATTTTCCAGCACCAAACATTAACTAATTTGGATGATTATTCTTACTCTTTCACGAAATGAATATTTATTTATATACTAAGAAAATATGTTAATTTGATTTAGATAGTACAATTATTTAAGAATAATACAATTTTTTTTAAATGTAAGGTTTGAAACAAAATTTACGCAAAACATTTGATAGATCTACTATTTATTTATTGATTTCCTTAGTAACTTTTTATTAGCGGTAATAAAATGGATAGTTTTCTTTTGTTAAAAAAACTGAATTGCTTTAATAGTATTTTAGTAGTTCTCTATCAAAAACATACAAATTCAAAATTTATGGTTTCCACTATTACTGACTACTACTTTTGTTTTTGTAAACTCTTTCCCACTATATATTACCACTTATAATCTTTGTTCTAAAAATATGTCGCTTAGTCGAATAGACACTAGGTAATCTTCTTCTGCTTTAATTTACGTCCACTTGATGTAAAAAATTAGACATCCGATTTTAGTTCGTTTGGACCGTCTAAATAGCTATATAATATATTTTTAATAATAATTTTATCTATTTATTTGATCTAAAAATTTGATAAATATAATTTATACTCATGATTTTGATGAAATTATATCATGTTAGGTTTATATATTCTATTTTTGTGTTTTATACGATTTTAAACATGAAAAAGATATTAATGTTATACACAATTAAAAATTAACCTATTTTATAACATATCAAATAATTTAAAAATTATGTCCAGTATAATTTCTATTTAATTTCCGATTTTTTCTTTATGCACTAGGTTCTATGGTACATCCCGACGAGTGCCTAGCGCTAGGGCTTCTAACTATGCAGTCATACTAGAGCTATCTTTTACCATTGCAATATTTTTATCAGAGATCGAATCCTCTATAAAGCAGCATTAGTGCAAAATATGTCATTCTATCAGATATCATAATATGATCGAAGTTGATGTATTCCACGCAGGGCCGGCCTTGAGATTTTGGAGGCCTGTGGCGATTTCTATGTAAAAAAGTTTTTTGGGGGCCTAAAAATTTTTTTGGGACCTATACTCATGTAATTTTCTTCAAAATTTTTGGGGGCCTGAAACAAATGTTTCACTAGGCATTGCCCAGGGCCGGCCCTGATTCCACGAGACAAAGTCATGTTGAATGATAATGAATAAAAGTTTACGAGGTAAGATTAGATGCGAGATTCACGTTAGAAAATAGAAGTACGAATAAAGGAGAGGAGAATACAAGAAAACAAAACAAGAGTATTAATTAATTAGGTTTAATTAGGGGGAGAGACTAGTGACGACAACATGGCAGTTGGGCCCTTTGGTTTTTTGCTTACTGAGACTTGATTTGAAGTCTCAGTAAGAAAGGGATTGGGTAACTTCACTTCTTTCTCATGTGATGGTGTCTACTGACATCTCATTTTCCTTTTATTATTTTATTTACTTTTATTTATTTTATCGAACTATATACCTCTATCAGTGTTATAAGAAAAAAAAAAGCAGTAGAATGATGAAGAAGTGAACACTTCTATTGACAACGCATAAAGACAAATCAAAATAAAAGAAATAGTTCAGTTTCAAAAAATTAAAGAAATAGACTAATTGTTACAATTTTCTGTATAATAATTTCTAGAGAGAAAAAGGGACTTTGTCTCTATGTCATAATCTATGTCATAGAAAGCATTGCCAAATCTTATGTCCACATGGACGGTGTACGCCTTTACATCCTACTCGCTACTCTCATCTATTGCCTTTACATTTTCTTCATCATTACATTTAGATGTAACTTTTGCATAAATTATCATCATTATGGTTTTGTTCATAAAATAGGTTGAGCCTATTAATGCACACATGAACATCCCTACTTTTCTTTTACGGATCTCTATACACACATGAACATGAACCCTACTTTTCCTTTTATTTTCGATAAACTAGAAGCCTTTGTGATGTTAAGTTGCAACCAGGGGCAGGGGGGGATGTAACTAGGGTGTACAGGGTCACGTGACTCCAACTAATTATTAACTTTGTTTAAGCATTCAGTTCAAAGCTTGACTTTTTTGAAGTAATTAACTCAAATCCTATGATAAAAAAAGACGGAAAGAGGTAATAGTTTGGTAAAGACCTTGTGAGCCAATTGTCATGCTCACGGGTTTGACGCCAGGTGAGGGGAACTATCAATTCTTGTCGCTAAATGTGGTATTGGGTGTTGGGCCTTGTCCTCAGCACATATAAAGCCTTTTTAGGTGAAGTGGACCACTGCCTAACCGAATCCAGAAGAATGATCCACGTAAATGGAGAACCTCTGGATTATCAAAAAAAAAAAAATCATATGATAATGCATCCGTCTAGTTTAAAAATTTGAAGTTGTATCTCCGATTAAAAGTTCTCTTAGATCTGCCAGTGGTTGTAAGGACATCTCCAACCCAACTCCATTTTTTACTCTAAAATGGAGTAAAAAAGAATATGGAGTAGAAAACACTCCACTCCATTTCCATTTTTTTTTTTGTTCATCACTCCATTATGGAGTGGAAAATAGAGTAGGGTTGGAGTATTTTTACTCCATATTCTCTTTTACTCTATTTTGGAGGAAAAAATGAAGTTTTACATTGGAGATGCTCTAACTGGTTTACGACAATCATCTGGTGCCAAAAGAACGAGTCTCCAGTTAAGTGGCTAGGCTAGGGAAGATGGCGCTGTGTGTGCATTTAAATTTGGAACTAAGAGAATATTATGATAAGAAAAAAAAAGAGAATATATATATGATCAAATAATTAATTTATAAATACTACAATGCTATTTTACTTTATATTGAGAAAAAGCATCAAAATGATCGATTCATAAGTCTTGAGAATCTTCTTAAAGCTTTCTTAATATTTCATACAAGTGACTTCAAAAGTCTTTATAAAACAATTTTGTGGTACTTCTAATATTAAAGACAACATAAAATAAATATTTAAGCAATAAAGAGACTAGGTCGATCTAACCGCAGAAAATTTGCCGTAAGTATAGAAGATAATCATTCCTGTAACCCCCCAACCTGGAACATTTCTATATCGGGTTACAAAGAAATTACTACGAGATCACTCAAGAAGAGAGATGCCAAGAGCAGCACCCATGCCAAGCATCAAAGATATCAAATGGCACACCATATATTAATATTATACACATTTAGATTCAACATTACTAGACCAAACCAAGGCAATATTGTTCATTTACTACCTCAATCAACGATGGCTGTCCCGGTTCATTTCCCCATACCAAAACCTGTGGCCGAGACAAATAAAAAAAAACATCACGAAAGTTAGTTCAGTTTCAATACCTCTAGAAAGATTTTCAGATGTAAAAGACTTTTCAGGGCAGTGAAGAAGAGTGCTTTTGTTACAGTGAAGCCTGACCTCACTAGTATCCCAAAATCACATATCTGAAAGTATTATACCAGTGATATCTTTCAAAGGGTTACTTGTTGCTATACACATCTTCAATGTTTGTTAAGGAAATAGAGTAAGAACCTCTTGGGAAAGCTCGTGGGTAAGTAAAAAACATGGTTCTTGACCATTCACCAACTGATCCGTAGATGAGAAACGCACTTCCTAACGCCACTCCATCACTAAAATTATGCTTCACAAAAAACAACAGGAAAAAGGTTTTGTAATCTTTTATCATCCAAAGTTAGCTATTTCTTGAAGTAAGTGACAAAGGAAGCACGTCCTTACAACACCATGAGAGAACAAATTGAGGTAACCAAATACTAAGCTTGAATTCATCTCAACATATTGCACTAACTTCTCCATAAGAAGGAAGACCACAATCCTAGCTAGACAATCAAAGAATGATATTTGAAGCAAAAATGTAAGATCTGTCAAACTATTTTGATCAATAAATACAAGAGCATGGGGGCAATTGGTGAAAGAACAGCATCCCCCAACATAGCTCCTGCCTAGTAACCAAAACAGATAAAAATAATCAGAAGTAGCAACAATGCACACATACATACACATAGATTTCAAACCCACCAGGCCACCACTGGCAAAGAAAAGCTAAATGAATTTTTTTTACAAAACCCACACAACCTCATATCCTCTTCCTCCAGCAACTTCATCTTTACCTTCTTCTCATGATGATCGTGATCATACGAATGACTACACCCACCATTATCCGGTTTCTACGTACAGATTTAGAAACAGTACCAGAAACCAACCACGACGACTGTTCTCAGCGAGAACTTTGTAGCAGGTTCCGGTCTTCAAACTCTGTTTTGTCTATCCTAGAGATGAATGTTAAGGAAACACTGCTTACTACACTTCCATCTATTTTTAAATCTAAATGTATAATTGAGAAAAATCCACTATATTCCTTCCTCTAAAATAAAAACTGATATTTCCACCTCTATTTCGAGGAAGAAATAACATTCATCTATAATAGAGACATATTTATCTATTTACAAAATAATTCTTTAACTTTAATTAAAATAATTATAATCAAAATAAAAACTTTTTAGTGAAATACACTTTTTACAAATAGAATCATACTTTTTATTTACATAATAGTTTTAAAGAATGTATATTTTAAATAATATCATAATTTTATCAAATATTAAAATAAATTGGGTTATTTCTCAACTTTCAAAATGTGTTATTTCTAAAATTAAAAAACAATATATAAAAAATATTCTCTTTAGAAGAAAAAAATAAAGAAATATATTGGAGACAAATCCATCTCGAGTAGAGTTTTCCTATTTTTAAAAATAGAGGAATATATTGAAGATGGTCTACTGAAAAATTTGATTCCCAATTCTGATGAGTTTAGGTTAATTTTCTATGAAATTCCTGACAATAAAGAGAGAAACTTTGACATTATCTAAACCAGGGCAATTCTTTCAAATAGCCCTCTTTTAAGTTTTTATCACGAAAATAGACCTCAAAAATTAAAATGACCAAAATATCACTTTTTATTTTGAAAATTTTAAGTTTTCTTAATTTTTTTAAATTCGAAACCCTATTCCCAAAACCCTACTCCTCAACTCTAAACAAAAAAAATTAGGATTAGTTAACCTAAGGGGTATAAATGTAAATTTGAAAAATATTTAAGTGCTATTTTGGTCATTTTAATTATTAAAGTCTATATTTATGATAAAAAAAAATTTAGGTCTATTCTAGTCATTTTCTCTTTCTAAATTGAATAGAAACCCTTTTATGAGTCCACTTTAACCTTGGGTTTATTTGGAAGGTCTCAAGAGAGTTGTGGGTTGGTTGGTGTTTGGTTTGCTTTCGGGCTCAGTATTTTGATTTTAGTTTTCGGTCTGAAAAAATAAAATTGGAAACCAGCTAATATTAAAAAAGTTTGGAATCGAATTCAATTTTGTATGTTTTTTTGATAATTTAGATTAGAAAGCAGATAATTCGTTTTCAAAATTAAAACAGATTTTTCTAATAAGAATATCAAGTAATTTATGTAATTTTAAATATTATAAATAAATAATATTTCCAGATAACTCAGTTAAATAATACCTTTATAGTATTTGGTTATTACAAAATTAATTGTAATTAGTATTTTATGTGTATAAACTAGATGGAGACTGACTCTTCAAATTTGCTGGACATGATAATTCTACTGATTGGCCAGTTTCTTTTGAGCTAGTTTCTTTTCGTCTTCTTAAAGATGGTTTCTCGATTTTCAGTATTTCCCGCATGTTTAGGAGTTTAGGATTAAGAATTTGCATGCGGATTCTTTCATTAAGGTAACAAGAAATAACAATAATTTCTTTTCCATATATATCAACTGCCGGACAGAGCATCTCTTCGGAACGACTCAGATCTGCGTACTACTTGAACTTAGAAAATAGGATCCGACAAAATAAAAAGACAAAAAAACTAGATATTAGATTTCCCTTTGATTCTGAATATATTTATTTTTTGTTTAGTTTCAAATTTTCAAGTCTTGAAAAATTAGAATTGTTAAAATATCTGTGGATATTTATTCGGCATTAGTTTTAATTTCACTTGCGGTTTTAGTTTTTGGTTTGTTTTTGGTTAATTTCGATTAGTCTTCGCATTTGATCCTAAAATTTGTACCATATTCCCTATTTTAAAATATTTTAGTTTTAGTTCAGTTGGATTTATAAAAAATACACATAAAAATTAAAAAAATTATTCTTTACAATTTATTATAAATTATAAATTATTTTTAGGGGCAAAATATTACTTTTCCATTAATTTTAGTTATAAAATAACTTAAATTTTTATTTATTTTTATGAATCAATTCAAATATCTGAAAGGTAGCATTGCAAATATAATTTTTATAAACTGAACCACAAAAATCTTCAAAAATTTAGATATCCACTGTGTATGTAGTCTCATTTTTCAAAGTGTAGATAGTATATATATGAGTTTGTTTGTTTTTTGGGAGTATACAGCTATTTTCAAACCTTTCAAAACCCTACTAACTCCAGAAACAGATTTTGGTGACTATTATTTTCAAAACATTCTATGTAACTTTGAGGGAATCTTATATATTAAAACAGAAGTCATGACTTCACTTTATGTGTGATATTTCAAAAAATGGACCATTCCTAGAAAGTTATTTAAATTATATTATGTTTAAACAAATGAATTATTTGAATTATTCTAGAACAAAAAAAAAACAAATAGATATTCCTATATTTTCTCTGAAATTATATATGAATTAAATCTCTTCATATCTTTTTATTTACAATGTAAATCTATATATTTCATTTTTCATTAAAATAATAAATTATTAATTAATTTCGTATTTATTTAAGATAAAAGTATATTTCATAACAAAAATAAAAATTTAAATATCAAATTAATTTTAATTATAAATAAAATAATGTACATGTATGTATTAAATTTTTCATACTAATATATAATACTTTTCAATTAAATTTTTTATTTTTTACCTATAATATTTTCAATTTAAAATTTTGTATCACATGATTTATAATATATTATCACTGAAAATTTAAAAAAATAAATAAAATTATTGCATGTGGTCTATAAAATTATTATGTTTTAATAAATATAGTTTAAACAATTAATAATATGGTAAATATTATAATTAATCATGTAAAACAAATAATTATATCTGTAAAAATAAAAATAATCACCCGCACGGTTGTGCGGGTCAAAATCTAGTTTAATTAATTAAAAAAAAAAGCAATCAGATCTAAAAGAAAAAAATATATTAATGAATATCCCTTGAAATTAAAAAAAAAAACAAAAAGATCATCAGTATTCAGTACAGTCAATAGACATTGAACACGTGTTTGCTCCAAAGAAAAAAAAGACACTACACGTTCCCTCCTCTCACGCGCAAAGAATCTGTTTGACTAATCACACAGCTTTTCTCACTAATCACATCACTGAACAAACCAAGGAGACAAATTAATTAACTATCCACACCGATACGTAACCATCTTACCATAATAAACCAAATAAATAGATCATGCACTAGTCTCTATATTAAGATTATCAATTTAATCTGATAAATGTAAAAATGTATATTAAAATTGAATTCATACTCATCCAGTGAACGTTGATTAATTAACATAATAATCCCCAGTAGTAGTAATGTACTAGTCTTCTTCTTTCCTCTCCTTGTCTTTAGAAGCAACTGTTGACATCATTTAAATCTCACTCTCTCTCTCTACATTGCATTTGGATCCTGAGGATTGTGGATGTGTCACTGAGAGAAAGATCACCAGATCGGAGATGTCGGACGTTACAGCCGACGGAGGCTACTCGGAGTCGCCTTACCCGTCGCTAACGGTGTCAGCCTCTTACAAAGAGAGCAGCACCGGAGGCGGAGGAGGAGGGAAAAGCTCGTCGAGGAGGAGACCGGTTAGACCTAGCTTCGACGCCGCCGCCGACAATGAGTTCATCACTCTCCTGCACGGCTCGGATCCGGTGAAGCTGGAGCTTAACCGTCTCGAGAACGAAGTTAGAGGTTGCTTACTCGCTTGCTCGATCTAGTGGTTATTAATGTGTCGATTCAGATCTGGAATTGGAGTTTGTTATTTTTTTTTTGTTTACTTGTTTTTTTTTATGATCAGATAAGGATAGAGAGTTAGGGGAAGCGCAGGCGGAGATTAAGGCGTTGAGGTTATCTGAGAGGCAGAGAGAGAAAGCTGTTGAAGAGGTTTGTTTGTTATGAATTGAATTGAATCATCACTTGCTTTTTTTAGTTTTTGTATTAGTTTATAAAACCTAATCATGTTTGTTTTGTAGCTTACTGATGAGCTTACTAAGTTGGAGGAGAAGCTCAAGTTAACTGAATCTCTTCTTCAAGGCAAAGTAAGTTTTTGAGATCTTTCCTTAAGGATCCATTCTTGTTTCTCTTTGCTACAATGTTATTTGATTAGCAATAATGTATGTTGCAGAATTTGGAAATCAGGAAGATTAATGAGGAGAAGAAGGCTTCCATGGCTGCTCAGTTTGCTGCTGAAGCCACTTTAAGAAGGGTCCATGCTGCTCAGAAAGATGATGACATGCCTCCTATTGAAGCCATTCTTGCACCATTAGAAGCTGAACTTAAGCTTGCACGCTCTGAGGTTAGTCTACTTTTAAGTACAGTTTCGTTATGTCTACTTGCAAATAAGGCATTGATAGTTAAGGATGTTTTCTTTATAGATTGGGAAGCTTCAGGAAGATAACAGAGCCTTGGACCGTCTCACTAAATCAAAAGAAGCGGCTTTACTTGAAGCTGAGAGAACTATTCAATCTGCCATGGCGAAAGCTGCCTTAGTTGATGATCTTCAGAATAAGAACCAAGAATTGATGAAACAGATAGAGATCTGCCAGGTGCTCTACTCATTATCCTCGTCATCTTTGTAACTAGTTAATCCGGCTTTGGATGCCTTCTACCAATCACGCATTGTTCCTTATTTATCTATTTTATGGTTTAGGAAGAAAACAAAATTCTAGACAAAATGCATAGGCAAAAGGTTGCTGAGGTGGAAAAGCTTACTCAGACTGTACGAGAGCTTGAAGAGGCTGTTCTTGCTGGTGGCGCTGCTGCTAATGCCGTCAGGGATTACCAGCGGAAGTTCCAAGAGATGAATGTAATTTGCTTTTTTTTAATTGAAATTTGATACACCTCTTAAGATGAATATAATTTGATACACCTCTTAAGATGACTGAAATGGAATAAAATCTTCAGTTTTTTTTCTTGGTCCTCACTATCTTGTTTTTGTAGGAAGAACGAAAAACTCTTGACCGGGAACTTGCGCGGGCAAAGGTTACAGCAAACCGAGTTGCGACGGTGGTTGCAAATGAATGGAAGGATGGTAATGATAAAGTGATGCCTGTGAAGCAATGGCTTGAAGAAAGAAGGTTTCTACAGGTTCACTTTTGATATGATTGCCTTTGAATGTGGATTCTTTGCTGTTGACAAAGGCACAACCTTTACATTCTCTCATCTCTTAACTCTCTTGTTGCAGGGAGAAATGCAGCAGTTACGTGACAAGCTTGCCATCTCAGATCGAGCTGCTAAATCTGAAGCACAACTAAAAGTATTCACCTAATTCATATGTTGGTCATCTTCTAACATTTTGATCTTGTTTAACTGAACTCTATATTTGTACAATTTCCAGGAAAAGTTTCAACTACGGCTTAAAGTGCTCGAGGAGACGTTAAGAGGCACCTCAAGCAGCAGCGTAAGGAACACACCTGATGGAAGAAGCATGAGTAATGGACCCTCTCGCAGGCAGTCACTTGGTGGATCAAATGGCTTTTTGCCAAAGAAATCTCCATCTTCTCAGATGAGGAATGCCTTTACTTCTAACTCCACCTCGGTATTGAAGAACGCTAAAGGAACATCTAGGTCATTTGATGGAGGCACAAGATCATTAGACAGAGGCAAAGCACTCCTAAACGGTCCTGGGAAATATTCATTCAACAAGGCTTGTGATGAAGCCAAAGAATCAGAATGGAAAGAAGATACAGAGGAGAAGCCACCAACAACTGAAGACAACGTCCCAGGGGTTTTGTATGATTTACTTCAGAAGGAAGTAGTTGCCTTGAGGAAATCTTCACATGAAAAGGATCAAAGCCTGAAAGACAAGGATGATGCAATAGAGGTAAATCTCTGAACATGCGAGATAAAATTATGCTAAAAAAAAGACATCTGTGTAAATGGCAGTTTTTTTGATATTTTTTTTGTAGATGTTAGCAAAAAAGGTTGAAACATTAACAAAAGCAATGGAGGTTGAGGCGAAGAAGATGAGAAGGGAAGTAGCTGCAATGGAGAAGGAGGTTGCTGCTATGCGTGTGGATAAAGATCAGGATAACAGAGCCAAAAGGTCTTCAAACACCAAGAACTCATCCAACACCGCCCAGATTCTTGCTGGAAGGTATATAAGAATGCTGAATATCACTTTATGAAGTAAGATTGAGATTGCGAGTTGATTTGATTCATTATCATTATATATTTTATCAGACTAAACTTGGTCTTCGTATGCAGAGCTGCTGGACGAAGTGGGTTAACGAGGAGCACACAATGAGATAAGTGAAGTGATTGGTTCTCGTGGACGTATCAGTTTTAAACAAGTAAACCCGTTATAGACTGGTGTGCTCTTTTTTTTTAACCTTATGTCTTCTTTGCTTTCTTTTCATCCTCTTGTGATTTATTGTATTACCATAGAACTCATGAGAATGTGTTATCTATGGTCCAACCATCCAAAAGAGAGGGAGAGAGATGAGTATGCTTTCTGACTTAGACCAGCTTAAGGAGAGATGTTTGACATTTTGGTATAACATTTTCTATCCTACAGAAGTAGTTTGCCTGGGCTGTATAGGTTTATTAGTGTTGTATTTGGTACTTGTTCGGTTTCTTTTTCAATCTACTTTTGAGGTGTTGTGTGATTATTTGTACTTTTGGTTTTGTTGATACATATGTCTCTTCAGATCTCCAAACTTACTATCTTTTATCTTTTACACTGTCTTGTGTTAAGTTAGCAAATATATCATAAGACTTGCATTGCATACAGCAAATCTTTAACATCACTAGTTTTACTAAAAGCATAGACGAAACTAGTTTCGTTTCTTAGTCAAGTGTCAGAGGTTAACAAGAAGAAAGCCATTGAAGGTTCGGGTCATTGTAGTACATATAGCATTACTCATAAACTCTTACAGAGAGTACATATACGTCTCAACGTTACAATTTTTTCGTGGAAATATACAAACAAAAGATTTCACTAGTTGTTTAAACAGACATGGACTGTTCTGAAACAGAAGCCAAACCATGCATTAACCTAACAATCTCACTAGTGTCATCAAGGTAATACTTGGCCTTGCTAGGCTTCTGACCAACGGTACAAGCGAAAACCTCAGCTCTAGGGGCAATCGAAGGGCCTTCAGTGGAACTGCATATCACTTCAAACATGTCTTCATCAGACCGGTCATCTCCAATACATAGAACAAACTCAGGAGGTGTTCCTTTTTCTTGCATCATCGTTAGCATCCTTCTCGCTATTAGTCCTTTGCTCACTCCCTGCAATTACAAAACAACAAGAAGATATATGACAGTACAAGTGGAAAAAAAATCCTCATGTTTGTGTCAATTTACCTGTGGCTTGACCTCAACATAGTTCTGTCCTCTCTTGACTGTTACAGGTTCATTAGCAAGGACACTTTCAAGATGATCTAGAAGCTCTTTAGCTTGACATGAGCCAAAATCCGGGTCAGCATCTTCATAGCTCCAGACCAGAGCCGTCTCCTTGTCTTCTATTGTTGATCCATCTGTTGTCTCGGTGTAAAGCTCCATCACGGGCTCTGCAATCTGTTTCCAAGTACAATCTGCTGCTGCTATACAATCTTCCCACTCTTCAGCCTTCCTCAGCCTGTGTGTAGTACTCAGATTAGAGCCTCAGTTATAAGATAATGCAGTGAAAAACAACAAGTTTACCTCAGAAAGTAGCCATGTTCAGCAGCAATCCCAAGCTTCTCACAAGGACTAAACCAATCAGACAGAGTCTCCCTGCTTTTAGCACTCACAATGAACACAAGATTGCTCTTGTCCCTACACAACGTGTTCAATATCTCAATTGACTTCGTTGAAGGTCTTTTATCAATAGACCCTTGTGGCATCAAAGTATCATCATAGTCCAAAAGAATAGCTCTTGTCTTTGTCCTCTTATAAGCCGACACTATGTGCTCCATTGACAGCTTCCTGAAGCTTTGGTCTAACGCCACAACCCTGAAACTAAGACCAAACCCAATCCCCCAACACCTCCTCCTCCCATGCTCACTACAACTCCTCTCAAGATCCTGGAGGAAGCTACGAGCCCAATAACCAACATCATGTGTGCTCACATACTTGTAATGCTTCTCATGCCTTAGCTGCTTCTCCGGCTCAGCTACTTCAAGAGCACTATCCATAGCATCAGCCACTGCGTCAACATTCCATGGATTAACACGAATAGCTCCACTTAACGATGGTGAACAACCAATGAACTCAGAAACCACAAGCATGCTTTTGTGATTGTTATGATTACTTAGAATCTTGTCAAGCTTCTCATTCCCTTGACGTGAGACTATATACTCATAAGGTATAAGATTCATCCCATCCCTTACAGCTGTCACCAAACAACACTCAGCAACAACATAATAAGCAACCCTCTCATAGAACTTCAACGGTGCATCTATCAACACTATAGGATCATAGCCAGGTCTCCCAAACGTCTCGTTGATCCTCTTAACGGTTGAGTAAGTCTCAGCTTGCATCTCTTTGACATCTTTCCCTTTCCCTCTAGCTGGATTAGCTATCTGCACCAACACAACCTTCCCTTGCCACTCAGGATGTTGTGTAAGCATCTGCTCCATGGCTAAGAGCTTTAAGCTAATCCCTTTGAAGATGTCCATGTCATCCACACCAAGCAACATCGTCCTGCCTTTTCTGCTATACTCCTCAATAAGCTCTTTAACTTTAGTTTCCGTCTCAGGTAAGCTGAGAACAGACTGAAGCTGACCCATGTGGATACCGACAGGTAGAATCTTGATGCTCACGGTTCTACCGTAATACTCAAGACCAATGTATCCTCTCTTGGACTCATAAGTAAGACCAAGCATTCTACTACAACAAGACAAGAAATGCCTCGCGTAATCAAAAGTGTGGAACCCTATCAAGTCAGAGTTCAGCAACGCTCTAAGCAGCTCTTCCCTAATAGGTAAAGTCTTGTAAATCTCTGAAGAAGGGAAAGGGCTATGGAGGAAGAACCCAAGCTTGACACGGTTAAACCTCTTCCTCAAGAAAGTAGGCAACACCATCAAATGGTAATCATGTACCCAAACAAAGTCATCCTCAGGGTTAATCACTTCCATGATCCTATCCGCAAAGATCTTGTTCACAGAGACATAAGCTTGCCAGAGAGAGCGATCAAACCTGCCTCCAAGATCAGGAGAGAGCGGTAACATGTAATGAAACAAAGGCCAAAGCTGCTGCTTACAGAACCCATGGTAGTATCTTCCGTACAAATCTAGAGGCAAAAACGTTGGCACACACTTGAAATTCTCAAGGAGAAGTTGGTAGACTTCTTCTTGCTCGTTGGGGTGAATCTCTTCTTTCAAGCAACCTACGTAGATAACATCAGTGGCTTCATGTCCTCCTAAACCGTCTTTTAATTGGAGGAGAAGAGAGTTCTCGTTCCAAGAAAAGCTCCAGCTTTTGCTGCTACAACAAGTGCTTGTTGTAGTTGTGCTAGTACTAGTCTCTGGCTTTCTTTGAGCTCTTATGGGTAACTCGTTGGCTACGATGATGATACGGTCTTTTGGAGAGAGATCAGGGGAAGAAGCATTTTCTTTAGAGTCGTTGTCGATGTTGGACATGATTCCAGCCATGGCCATGATGCGAGGGATCTGTCGGTTCATGCGGCCAAACGTTGGTGAGTCTCCTGAAGCTAGCTCGAGTAGGTTTGAATAAGATCTTGAAACCATTTTGTTGTTTATTTTTTTGGGGATTAAATGCTAAAGAGAGAAAGAGAGAGAGAGAGAGAAAGTACTTTTTGTTGTGTTCTTGGTTCAGACAAGTGATATAGAGAGAGGTTTAAAGATCATCGAACGAACATGGTCTTTAAGTCTGAGAAAGAGAAAGGGAATAGATTCAAGAATATTAACAGCTTGAAAGCAGCTCAAAAACATTAAACGTGAGGTTTAAAATTTCTAACAGAAAAAGAGATTTTTGACTGTTGATGAGAAAAATTCTTATGCTATTTTGGATGGATGATTTTGACTTTTGCTTTTTTTTAAAAATGATTTGACAATGAGATTAGGATTTTTTGTATTTATTTTTTGAAACACCAGAATAGGAATTAAAGTTGAAAATTATAAAAAGAACAAAGAAAGAAGCTTTTATTTTTTTTCAGACAGAAGCTTGTTGCGCATGTGAACTTTACTCTTTTAGTTTCAATGGAAGATGTACTATAAAATCTTACGACTGTTAATAGATCTGAATCGTTCGATCGAAGATTATTGGTAAGAGTACTATATATCGAACGGTCAGAAAGAAAAGAGCACGGAAAGTAGAATGTACCCTCACGTCGAGGATTCGTTTGATCTTATCCGTTAGTGGCTTACACCGAAGTGGGTCCCGTTAAGTAGCTGTCTGAGCAAATAAATTAGTTAAGAAATGAATATGGGGTTTTTGGTCTCAGTAAGACACCACGTGGTCTCTGTTTATTTGCCACTAATAGTGTGTTCGGCATACTACGTGGCGAGATCTAGAGCTTTTGTCAGCAAAAAGAGAGAGTATTCAATGTGATCTAAAATACATAAAGCAAACAATGATTATATTATTATAAAAAACCTTTGTATAAACTCTTATCATATCGATTCTCTCAAAAACAAAAAATACAAGCATAGTCCCAACAACTTAAAATTTTCTTAAATTGAGATAAGTTCATGTTGCCGAGAACATCGGCAATGTAGACTATATCTATGTGAATTTTTAAGCTCGAGAAAAATAGCAATAAAAGTACATATTTGTCAATATACCACATGAAGTTTTAAAATTTTACATCCATTCAAAAAAATTGTTTAAAAGGTTTTGATGTCTCCAAAACTTTATATCATTAATTGAGCGAACATACGTACTATATATAGTTAGGGAATTAGTGGAGATGTCTTTCATTTTATTCACTAAACTGGGTCTCGAATCACATGCACAATCTTTTCTATAAAAACACAACTCTAAAATTAGTAACCTCGCGACATTTATGACCCAACTGAAAGAGCTTATGAAATATGATTGGTTATATGTTAAGAAATAGAGAATTTTGAGAAACTTATGATTTTTTTGCTAAACATCGTTTGCACATAACTACAAATAACATTTTTGAATATATTACAGATCGGAGAAGATTTCTAGCAATTATATGATTTTTAGATATCACAATAGTTACAATTTAATAACAAATACAGTGATAAATTTTTTCTTCTGGTATTATATCTAAATATAGTCTTAACTATCTTTAGTGTTAAAAAAAAAGGTGGAGCTATTAGATCTAGACAAGCATGAACATGGAGCAAGTAGAAAGGTTTCAAGAAGAGCTCTGGAGATTGTTCAGTACTTGAGAAGATCCGAAACATGACTTGTACTGTTGTACATATCGGAACACTTAATCGCTCAATTATTGAAACCAGGGCCCTGTCTAAGTACAAGCCAATTAAATATAGGTTTGAGATCTTAAAACTTTATATCATTATTAGGGATAAATTATGAACAAAGATAATTGAATAAATATGTTTAAAGCATCATTATTGTTAGGTTTCTTAATACAGAATTTTTTTAAAAATATAAAAAATAGTTTTTTATATTTTTCTAAAAATCTCATCATAAAAAACCTACAATAATAATGCTCTTATAATGCATGTATTAGAAACAGATAAGGTGTATAGTTCAATTTCTTCCCATAATATTTTAAAGTCTCTTGATTTTGAGAGACAAATAAATAATTGAGTTTCAGGGTCTAAAATTAGCTTGATCTCTATGACTACAATTTCTCAAATTAGAAATAAATTTTCTTAACTAAAAAGTCTTAGAAAATATACTTATAGCAAATTTTATGAATAAAGAAGTGGATAATGCAAAATTCAAAATAAAACATGATATGAAGAGCATGATGTGTGTACAAGACTCAGCAAACTTAACACCACTTTAAAGAGTTATTTAAGATCCAACATTGTTGTTGCAATACATTACATGAACACAACTTGAGACCATCAGATGGTATATATTAACATGATTCTTCCAAGTCTCCCCCTTCTTCATACTTTTTTAACTCATAGTTTCGAAACAGGCAATCCTGAAAACCCCCCCAAAAGAATATACATTAGAGTTTGAAACAATCTGAGACCTCAGTATGATGATTGCATTACCTAAGGCTTTTGAGTTGACAATGCTTGGACTAGCATTGGGTGGTGAAGCATTTTCGTTCAAGAACGGGTCGACCCGGTTTGGGTCACTCCAAATAGGATATCCTTTGATCCTTCCCTGTCAGAAGAAGATGATCACAACTTTTAGTAATTTTAAATCTTTATAAAAAGATATTTTGGAGAAGAGAATGCATACAAGGACGTTGAGTGCTGCAAGCGTAGCCATTCCTTCACGAGTCCACTGTCATCATCATCATCAGAAGATATATTTAGTTTTGTTTATCTACTGAGACAGAAACAAAGAAATGTTTTGAGTTGGGAAACCTTGGAAGCAGAAGCAATGTGAGGAACAACAATAGCATTCTTCATATCAGCAAGTCCTGGTTTCATGAAAGGCTCTTCCTCAAACACATCAAGACCAACTCTGAACATTGGGTTCTCTCTCAGATGATTGACAAGAGCTACCTCATCGATCACAGGACCTCTACTACAGTTCACAAGGATTGCTTCCTGAAAGAAACTTAACTCAAGTCAGAACAAGAACCAATAATAAGACAAAATAGAAACCAAAGTCAACCTTTTTCATCATTGCAAGCCTCTCCTTGTTGACAAGATGGTAAGTGGTTTTATCCAACACAGGGTGAAGACTTATCTGTTTTTTATTCAGACAAAAAACAACTTCAGTTTCTAACTAAAGAGAGATACACATACCAAGGAAACTAATATAAGTTCAGTTACCAGATCAGCCTCTCGTAGCACCTCCTCCATGGAAGAAGCTCGTTTCCATGTCACAGGTTGTTCCCCATTTGCTTTCAAGAATTGTCCATAAGCTGCCATTGACCATTACTTCAAGACTTCAATTAGAAGAAAAGAAGAAAGAGTATTGTATTGAGAAACTGTATATATATTAACCTGTCACAAATTTCTCAAGACGAGTGGATTGGTAAAGATCAAAGTAGATCAAATTCATCTTGAACCCTTCAACCTGTTCTTGAAACCAACATGTCAAAAAAAATAAAAGCTTACAAAAATGTCATAGCAATTAGCTATTTTACCATCATCCTAGCATAAGCAGAACCAATACGCCCAGCTCCAATCACTCCCACAGTCTGTCCTTTAAGTAAGTTCCCCACAAACCTACCAGAAACCAAAACAATCATCTTAGCCTCTCCCATACACTCCAAGGACTCCTAAACCGGTTTCTTGAATTTAAATCGGTTTCTTGATTTTCTTGAATTTTGACTTACAAATGAGGAAGCCATCCTTCGTACAAGCCAGCTCTCATGAAACCATCAGCTTCAACGATCCTTCTTGCTGCAGCAAGGGAAAGGGAAGCAGCTAGCTCAGCCGTAGTCTCAGTCAACACTCCCGGAGTGTTACCAACGGCGATACCATACTTATTGGCGGCTTCAACGTCGACGTTGTTGTAACCAACGGCCATGTTACTGAAAACTTTCCCTCCAGCTTTGCTCAGAGCTGAGAACAGAGTCTCTCCCCAATCTTCTGTTAACTATACAAACAAAAACTTAAAACCGTTTCTTTTAACTTCCATACTGTGTAATATAGACTTCTGTCTTTCTTTTCATTTTATTACCTGACCGATGACTCCATCACACTTGTTTCCAATCAGTTCAATGATGTCTTCTACAGACAAGATGGTCTTCTTCAAATGGCATATCTATACATTCAAGAAGACAAGCTTTTTGAGTTTGAAGTAATCAAGACTAGTAATATTCTTGATGAGTTAAAGTTTTACCTCTACGCGACAACCTTGGTCGACCAAGAGGTTGATCCAACGAGTTCCAGGCATTGGTTTGGTGCTGACGACTCTGTACTTCCCGTTAGGATTGTACACCTCAATAGCCATTGGTTTAGCCATTGCAGAGAACAGAAAAAAAAAGTGTTTCTGTGGGAAGAATATGGAAACAGAGATCCTGGCTTTTAATCTCGATATCAAGTCAGTAGAATTATTGTGGTTATTATCAACGTTTACGTTTTGTTTTTGGTGTAAGATTACATTGGTTTATGAGCGAACGACAAGAACAGAATCTTGTGTTATCTAAGTTTGGACCTTACGTTTTTGGAAACCAGATAATGCTGACGTGTTCATTATCTAACTCACTGCTGCAATGAAAACTTTTAATCAGATTATATTTACAAACAGAAATTATGTCAAAAAGTCAAATCAATTTTGTTTAAAAAACATAGGAAGATGTTTCTACAGACAGAAAAAAGAAGTGTTGCAGGTTGAGAAAAAGGAAGGAAGATCAAGGCTTGTGCTGCTGCTTCTCTATATCATATAGTACACAGACATCTGCAGCTGTTTTCATCTGCAAATATAAGCAGCAAATCCCAATTAGAAACCAAAAGGAGCTTTTAATGTAGGGATTGGTGGGGAGATTAAGCAAAGAAGAAAGCTAGCTTTACCTGAATGATGTTGACGGTTTGTTTCATTGACCAACCGAACAATGTCAACGCCAATAGGAAAGAGAGTGGTGAAATCTGAGTTAAAGTGGAAACTACGACCTGCAACGAGAGGGGCCATGCTTTAGCAAGTTGAGTAGAAAGTAAGAAGGAAAGGGAAGGGAAGAAGGAGCTAACGTTTAGGAGATTTTCGGTTTGGTTCTTTGCAATGAGAAGAAGGATGATATACAGAACCTGCACATTAGATGAAAAAAGTTTTGCACCTAAGAAGACAATGATCTCAAAGAGTTAAAGTGGATGTAAAGACTCTGTTTCAAACACCTCGCAGGAGACACAGCAGTAACACATAAAGATCCGGTTTCCATAGTAGAGTCTGAAAAGCCAGCTTGTGCTGTCTTTCACATCCTTATGGCTGCTCTTCCCCGCTAGAAACGTGCTACAGAGTAGAAGAGCATTAATTAAAAGTCCCCCAGGTTAATATTTTTTGAAAAGTATATACAAGAGAATGAAAGAGAGGTTTTGGCTTTTACCTGTACATCTGCAGCCAATGACTAGCAATATCTAAAGCCAACAACGAAAGGAAGACCAAGCTAGGCCTGTAGACTTGAGAGAGAATCACGAGTAGACAGGCTGTGCTTACTCTATAAACAAAGAAAACCACCCAACAAAATGGTCAGATTTTAATAAGTAGGATGACGATTGCATATGTGTAGAAAGAAGATTCACACCTATCTGTCACCATGTCGAGAACAGCTCCAAATGTTGAAACTAAGGAAGAAAGAACAAGAGGAGCAAGTCAATTTCTACCTTTGTTAGATATTATAGTTGTGGCATGTCTTGACTAATAATCATATTGAAGTCATTGCAACACAATATTAACAGTAGCAACATACTGTCTCAATCTTCTTGATTTCTAAGAAACAAGGGAGAAGTAAGCTCATATCATATACCTTGGTTGAATCTACGAGCGCACCAGCCATCCACAGCATCACAACAAAAACTGTAGAGATCCACATTGATCCAATAAGATTATTAAAGCCATTATCCCCAAAACACATAGCAAATTCAACACAGTTTAATATAAAGATTAAAGTCTGACCTGAAGAAATAGAGAACGGAGAAGAGTGTTTTGTTGGAGAAACACACAGCAAAGGCAACACAGTTCAAGAGAACTCTCATGTACCCTACAAAAGCAATTCAACAATCATCACAACAACAATCAACAATCATCACAACAACAATCACTCTAACGGTAAACAGAGAAAAGAAGAAGATATCGAGAAAGACCCACCAACAATATTAGGTATATAAAGGTAAACAGACAACATTTCTGGTCTAGCTCTCTCCTTCTTCCCCATCTTTCAATCTTCAAACGATTCACCTGCACAAACCAAAAAGGAGAAAACTTTCTCATAACCCATCACCATAAATGCAAATATACACAAACCCATCTCCAAATAAACCCAAATTAAAGTCGAAATCGAATAATACTCACTTGGAGTTATGAGGATCTTGAAGTGAGAGAAGAAGAAGGAAAGATCTGTAGAGACAGACAGACTCAAAAGGATCAGAGATCTCAAGTTACTTCAATCCAAATTAATAAATCGAATCAGATTCGCTGCCATTGCCAGTTAATTGAATCAATCTCGCTGCTTTTCCGACATTCAAACAAAAGTGTAAATTTTCTGAATTGTCAAATGTTTACTACAATTTATCAAATAAACCCCTCAAAGTTTAAACATTCTCACTATTGTTCCGATAGTCGTGAGTGATCAAAAAAGTTCCGATAGTCGTGAACATTATTTATATGTAATTTGCATATAAAACCCTCGTAGTTTAAACATTTTTGATATTTCGCCTGCAGATAACGAAATTTGACAAGGTGCATCAAGTTGGAGTATTCTTTGTAGATTGAAAGTATAGCAAGAAAAAAAAACAGACAAACAGTTTCTTTAGAAAGAAACGAGCATTTAAACTTTGATCTTTGATTAGCATTGTAGGTTTTATATTATCAACCTACATAGTGTTATACCATCTCCAATGGAGACTTGAGAAATCCAAAGGCATTATCTTATTGAGCTTCAAAATAGCATCTCTTTATAACTCATAGTATGGAACTTCATCTTCGGGTGATTGTGATCGAGTGGTAACGAGGCGAGACTGGGACATCAACATGTTTCAATTTCGATCCACATATTGCACGAAATTAAGTCATAATTATTCTTTGTCACTTAACATGGATATGAACCCATGATTTAGGGTCCATTTGAATTCACTGAGTGAAGATTTATATGTAGACTGCACCTCTTCTTTGGTATTAGGCTGAGTTTTTTCATGGATTTGAGATATAAAAAAAGAAAAACTTCATCCTCTTCCTCAGCCATAGTACTGAACCACAAGTTATTGTCAAACGCAATGAATTCTCCAACCCTCACTAACTTAAGCAGACTCTTGAGGAAATTACTGTAGTTCTCCTTGTCAGCATCCAAAAATGCCAAAATCAAACTCTTGTTCTTCCTTTGACCAAAAAAAAAAATTCTTGTTCCTCCTTAACCATCGGGCAAAGAGTTGTGCTTAGCTAATTTAATTTAATATTAGCATCTACTAATACTAATCATTTTTTATAGAGGTAATTAAGTGAAGTAGACTTTTCTGCTAAAACTGTAAAACCTATATAAAATGAGACAAATAGGAATCGTAAATAAGCCTCCATTGTTCATTGCTCTATGAACCAATCCATGCACTGGAAATATTCTTAATTATCAAACACTGCCAAACTTTGTTCTTAACTCTTAATAGTCTTTTGATCATATGAGGCGTGACACCATCTCCAATGGAGATCTAAGATATTTCAACTCAAGGATCTAAAGCCAACTTCTTATTGAATTTTTATTGAGCCTCTTTGTATTCCCTCATATGTTAAACGCAAAGCTTCCTCCAACCTTCACCAGTTTCAGAAGATGGAAGTTTACGTAATTTGACTTGTGAGCATCTGCAAATGCGAAATCAGACTCTTGATTCTGCTTTTGTTAAATGTGGTTGGAATATATGTATATATATATATATATGATCGTTAGCTAAAATAAGTTAGTAATTAAAGCTTATTAGTGAATAATACAAACACATTGTGATCAACGCCGCCTTCTTGATCTGCATCCAATTTTTTTTTCTTAAACCTAAACCAGGACCGTTGGTCAATTTCAAATTATTTGTAGAGACTATGCATACTTTTTTTTTTTGGTAATCATGTTAAATGAGCCTATGCATACTTTGTTTCACTACAAGAAAACTCGTCCATTACTAGGACGGGTTTTCCTCGTTAGTTCCTAGTAAATGGCCTTTTACTAGGAACTTACGAGGAAACGCGTTTCCTCGAAACACGTTCATCGTAAAGACATTTTCCTCGTAAGGTTGTAGCGAATTTACGAGGAAAGTTTTCCTCGTAAAGGCGTGGTAATATTTTCCTCGTAAG